CTAGTCAATAATTCAAAGATTTTCAATCAAATTTTTTAGAGATGGACTAGTGCACAAAAACTATAAACTCAAGAGATTCAAATCTAAATATCTCCTAATCAATGCAAATTAATTTTCATTGTGTAGATTACAATCAAAGAATCTATTTTTATCAAATCATCATGCGTGTTAATTTGCAGTTCAAAGATAAATCATAAATTCACTTAAAGAATTTTCACACATATTATCATGAAAAATATGATCAATCAGTCAAAACCTTAACCAAATCCTAAAAAGTGATCCAATGACAACAAAATTTTTCGTTTAACACAATCCATGATCACTAACCACCTTAGGAATTAGTTTGAAGGTTTTGTACCCAAAGTCCTTTTGGAAACTAGTTCTAAGAACTCAATTGGCACATAATTGATCAAATCATCCTTTTTAATCCACACAGTGTTCACTCTCACTTCCTGAAAATATTTTTCAGATTATACCTTTTTCTTAGGCAAATTTCTAACTTTTGAATTCTTAGGTGACATAAAATTCTTTTTCTTCTGAGAATGCACCTTTTTTTTAGCATGAACATTATGAGAATGAAGTTCAAAAAAATCTTTCTTTTTCTTATGAAGACATGAATGATGGTTATATCCATTTTTATCAAAAAAAAGTGCAATAAAACAATTTAGGCATATATGACATATCAGAATGCAATGTATCAAGCAAACTAGGATCAGGCACAGTATGATCAACAGATTTCACAAAAATTGTTTTATCTTGATTACTAGATAAGCCTTTAACAAAACCTAATCTAGTTTTATCATCCACATTTAGTCTATTTTGTGCCTTTTTCAATTCAAGTTCACTAATTTCAATTATCAAGGCAAGATATTCTTTGAAGGAGTTAGCACTACTTACCTTATCTTTAGGTGTGATGATCTTACTGTTGAGATCTAAGATGATTAAATTGCTTTCAAAAGCTTTTCTTTTTTCCTTCATCAATTTATTTTCTTAGATCTTCATTATTTTCTTTTGCTTGAATAAACTCATTTGCTAACTTATTGACATCCAATTTGACTTTAATAGTTTTTTCGAACATCTTTTTCAATTTTTCTTCATCCTTTTCATCCTCTTGAAACTGTTTATCACAAACTTCATTGGCTTCATCATCTGAAATGTGAGAATCAAACAAAGAAACAACATGAAGACCTTTGTCAAGAAAAGTAACATAAGAAAAATCATTGAAATCATCATGAGGAGATTCGTTATTACTAGAAGCAGGATTTTTAGAAATAGAAACTTCCATTGCTTTCCATTTATCCCTATCCTTTTGATCTTTCTTAGGACTATGACAGATATTGGCTGCATGAACTTTGCCACCACAATTCCAGTAAGTGAATTCAGTTTTGTTTGACTCTTCTACTTTTTTTTTCATTTATTCTTAATTTTGACCCCATGTCAAAATTTTAAGGATTGTCCCCATTGTCATTCCTTCTCCTCTGTTGTCTTTGCAAAAACTGATTAAATTGCCTTTAGATAAAAGCAACATCATCATCAGAATTGTCATCGACAGAATTATCAACCTGTGTTAATTTTAAAGCAAGATTCTTTTCCTTCTGATTTAGATCAAAATTCTGCATCTCAAAATTTTTTAATGAACCTACAACTTTATCTGCATTAGAAATAGAAAAATCTCAATGTTTAGTGATAGTTTATACCCTTATTTGAAATCTTTTAGGTAAAGACCTTAAGATTTTCTTATCACTAACTCTTTTGCCTAAGTGACGCAGTTCGGAAATAATTTTAAGAATACTAGAATAAAAATCAGAAAATGATTGATTTTTTCATCACAATGTTCCAAAAGTTATGAGATAGCATTTGAATTTTGGACAACTTCACTTTTGAAGTCCTTTCATTAGTAACCTGCAAAATATCCTAAGCATTTTTAGCAATTTTACAATCAGAAATTCTAGCATATTCAGATGGAACAATAGAATTTTAGCAATTGCATATAAGGATTTTCCATTTGCATCATTACACTCAGTTTCAATAGTAGTTAAGGTAAAAATATCTTTCAAGACTTCAGTTTGTTTACCATCCACAGTTTTTTCTTCTGTAGGTGGTGTATAACCTGATTCAACAATAGCCCAAGTTTTACTTCCTGAATTTTACAAATAGGCTCTCATCTTAGATTTTCAAAAATTATAATTGTTTCCTTCAAATAAAGGACCACGTTGATTAGATCCACCTTCTTTGAAAGCATAATACATGATGAAAACAAATTTTTGAAAAACAATCAAAACTTGTCACAAGGATCAGCTAAATGTGTAGAGATTGGCTCTGATACCAATTTGTGAATTGTGTAGCGGAAGATTACTTGCGTAGAAAGTTTTATATTTTAAAAACAGATCTGTGTTTTTCTAACTTTTACTTATTTTAGCAATTAATTAATTAATCTCATGCAAGATAAAATAAAGTAAAGTACAAGAGTTAGAGATGCCACCAGGATTTTTAGCGAAGAAACACCAATTAGTAAAATAGACCAAGTGTTTGTGTAGGAAAAACCTAGTGGACTGTGCAGTCCAAAGTAAATCGATCCACTATATTTGAAACAAAGTACAATGGACTTTGACTCAGGCTCACACCCTATCGTTATACCAAACACCAATTGCTGACAATCTTCTGGCTTTGCGATGTCCCATCCAACATCTCTTGACCTCAGGCTTACTCTTGATCTCTGTAAACGGATTGCTGGTAGATCAAACAACACTCATCGAATGCCTTAACCCTTTCAAAGTGTGATCAATCGCTTCACCTCTATTCTTTATGATATGAACTTAATGTAGAAGATGTAGATCTGCTTTTTCTAATCGTTATAGATGTAAGACTTTGATCACGATCAGGATTTGAACAACACTCTAAACTCACTCTTGTATTTATGAGTGTGTTTTAGAAAGAAAGACAGAAAAATCAACTTTAATTTTTTGCAAAAATATCTCTCTAATAGGCTTTAAAGTAATCTGAAGTTGTAGTGCAAAAGCCGTATCAACGTAGATGAAACTCAAGGTTTATATAGAATTTTCAAAGACCTAGATATGCATAGGAAAATATAATTTTCGTGCATAAGACTTTTGGTAGTATTCTAAACCAAATAGGAAGAAGAATCCGAACAGGAAACTAAGTTATCAAATTCTGCTAAATACCTTGAACCGGTTCAAGAATGGCTGAACCGGTTCAAAATGGCCAATTAAAATTCAAAGTAATTGTTTGATGCTTGAACCGGTTCGAAAAATACCTAAACCGGTTCAAGATGGCTAGTCTTGAACTTTTGAAGGTCTGGCACCTATTTTTCCAACCTATACCAATAATGAGAAGTGTCCAAATCTCAAAACTCATCTTCCTAATGTGTTGTTCATTCCTTTTCCGTATATTTTAATATATTGATCCTGAACAACTTTCCAATTCCGTAACCGATCTTGATCTTGAATTTTGAACTTTAAATTACAACTTGATCGGACTTGTTTTGACATCAAAATTTGCCAATTAAAAAAATTATATCTCACATTGAGAAACTTATTTTATGTAGTACACTAATTTTGAAATTTTCGTTCAATTGAATCATAAATTATACATGGTGGTAAAATACCATCAATTTCAGACATCAGGAGATGCAGTTTATTGAAGTAGAATATGTAATTTAAATTACACTCTTCTATATATGTCTCATTGGCTATATATATATATATATATATATATCTCATTTGTACGTTCCCATTTGTGGATCTCACAAATACATTTCAACTCTATATACCTTAACAAGTTGATACATAGACAGAGATAATGACAGTAAGATTGGTTAATTTTACGAAGTACTACTGTTACTAAGAAAACTCTATTAAACCGCAATTTTGTTAAATTAGTAATACAATTGCATTAAACAGTATTAGTACTAAATAAATTTAAAAAGTGTTTTGAGTTGTGAAAAGTCCTTTTTAAAATGTATACCAAGCATCTTACAAGCTTTTTACTGAGAGAAATTTATTACGTTTCTATTGACAACAATGGTTTTATAATCTTTTTTTGGACTTTGTAAAAGAATGAGTAAAATTGTCTTTATAAAAAAAATAAAAAAATAAAAAAATAAAAAAGTTATAAATTGTCTGAAGAAAAAGAGTTACTAAAATTTGGAACCTCTACTAAAAACCAAAATTTTTTTTTCCCCATTACAAATATTATCTAACGGACACAAATTCAGAAGAAAAAAATTGGAAAAATATTCGTAACATTCAATTTGGTAGGAGTTGAGGAGCTTGACAAATATGCATGTAATTTTGGGACGCTCTCCGCATAAAAGACAATATTGTTTCCATGATTGAACATTATTTCAGAGTAAAATTAGACGTTTCAATATAATTTTAGGGGATTTAATTAGCCGAGTTTTACATTTTTCTAATTCTGAGTAATATTTTTGTAACAGATGAGGGAAGGAATGTATACAGTCCGTGACCTCCAACTCATAATGGAGCAAACCTTATTATTGCACTGATGATCGGCTTCGGAATACATTCTGGTTATGTTCCACCATATGGAATTGAAGTCTTGGAATAAGATTTGATATAATTGAAGAAAAATGTAGTTCAAAATTATAAAAATTTAAACTATACTTTCTCCAATTTTAAAACTCTAACCAACGAAACCGAACATACTTTATAGTCGTAAACTTGTGTCAAAAAAGCTGGTGGGAACTCACCTTTTTGGTATATTCGTGTTACTTATGAAAGAAAGTGTGATGTAAGGTCGACCCATTATTTTCAAATTAGTCATGTTTTTCCCCCTCAGGTAAGTGCATTGAAAAATCAAACAATTAGATTCTCTTACATTTAGAATAGGTCCTTTAAGAAAAGTGGACTTCATATTAATGGTTTCAATATTAATAGACTACTCTAATTATTACCGACTCTAATGTTATCCATAGTATCTCAATCCAAAATGAATTGGCAGGTCAATGAAGAAAAAAATCATCTCGAAAAACATGAATTTTTCAATCTTATAAAATAGTACAAACAACTTCTTGATAGCAATCTTAATGGAGTTTATTCCCCTTATTTAAAGCCGAAGGCAGTTTTTGTAAGCCACAACTAATAGAAAACCACACCTATAAGTAACAATACAAAGGCACGCCCATGAAACCGTATATCTCAGTACACAGATTAAGTTGTATTTAGTTGTAGGCATCAGGATTTGCCAAGAGATATGCCTCAACAGCCTTGAACATTCCCAAAGCCTTTTCTTTGCCACCCTTGATTTGGTCCTCTGTGATCCCAACTTCACCTTTGGTGTGGTATTTGCTACTGTTCTTGCATACCGATCCTCCATCAGACGAAGCTTCGATCTTGATCTCGTAAGAGATTTTTTCAAGTACACCCATCAGGGCATCACCTTCGATGATGCTATAACTATAGACAAAGTTCTCTTTGTCAAGCCCATCAACTTGGTGTTTGACGCTATTGAATTGGCTGCCTTCGCCAAAAGAGATGACCTTCACAGTCCCGACTCCTCCATCACCTTGGATAATTTCAACACTCTTAATTGCTTGTGGCAAGATCTTGGGAATGAGGTTGTCAGCGTCAAGGACAAAAGCCTTGAACATCTTGGCTGCCGGGATTGAAGAGGTAACCTCCATATCATAACTGATAACACCCATGATATTGAAATTTGAGTGAAGGAAGAAGAGAAATAAAGTATCAAGGATTGATTAATTGGCTTGTAGAGAGGTTTTGGGGTGAGGGAAATGAGAGACCTCAAGTTGGTATTTATAGACTGAGCTTAAAGTTTGGCTGGTATTATTACAATTGAAAATATTCAGTACTTGTTATCGCCTTATAATGAGAATACATGTGAACAAGTAAAACTGCGTGGACCTTATAATAAGTGAGAAAGCCTTGAATTTTCAAATTTGGGATGCCAAGAATTCTATGCACTGAAATAAACTAATAATTTGTACCTAACAACCTGATATGGAGTCCATAAAGTTATATTTAAATGGTTTCTAGATTTCAAGAAGTCAATACATGCAACCAATGGATTATAAATTTATAGTTGGTCAAATTTGACGTCTAAATTGGCTTTATTCGATTGGCTTTATTCGATTGATTATTGTAGGTGCAAAATTTCGCTCAACCAATAATGATTGAGAAAAATAAAACAACTCACTCAAAAAACAATAAAAATAAATAAGAACAGTGTATAGAGAAGCGTAAATTGCTTGATCCCTTTATTGGAGGTCTAAGCCTCTATTTATATACAAAAGATTGTAAAATTATGGTAGGACTCGCGTTGCTTGTCCTCCAATTCTTTCTATATAAACATTCTTTATTAATAGAGTTCTTTCCATTGTCTAATTTTCCATACATAGAACTTGCCTTGTATAGAACTTCCTATCTTAGAATTTTCCTTCTACGGTAAATCCTTCAACTGGTAGGACTTGTGCGTTCTTGAGTAACTGGGCTGAACATACTTTGATCCGGCTGGGCTTGAGTAACGGACCGGATGTTAAATATTAACATGTTGGGCTGATAATCTCTTAATTCGGGCTTCAACAAGGCTGAAGGTCATATAACAATAGTATTGGGCTTGTGAACAACGATCTTGGACTAGTATCAAACCCAATTTGGGTTTGAGCGAGGTGGGCTTTATAAACTTATCAAGGATATGTTTATATTTATGATGACGTGGATTATTCTCATTGGAGGGGATTTTTTCCCTCCACACTTAGCCCCTAATTCTTTTTTTAATTGGAGTACCACTCCTAATAAGAAGGGAATTGAAGCTGTACAATTACCAATTTCGTTAGAAGTGGATTTGAGGCGTGATTACTGATATTCTGACCAAAGGGTTTCCATAAGAGTTACTTCCGCTCTTACTGCGTTCATTTCATCCCTTACGTTCTTCACTTTGTCACATCACTAGGTTAGAGCATTTGTCATGGCAGAGACTAGAGCACCTTGGAAGCCATTTATATCTAGAGCTGATAAATCAGTTCTTCACTCTGGTGATTCTATGATTACCGACCCCTCTGTAGCACTAGCAGTTGCTCGAGGAATGTAATATGGAGTTGGAATAACTTCCTCCATCTGGCCCTGTTCGAGCCATTGAGGTTCGTCATTCTCCCTTCCTTTTTGTCTTCTGTCCATCAAGAAGTTGGAGAAAGATCTTGGCAATTCTTAAAAGAAGGTCTCGTATGCAGCCATGAATGCAAAGATTGCATCTTGGTGCGCTTGTCCAGGACTAAGGCCTTTCGGTTTGGCTTTGTACAAGGTTCGGGAGACAAGTTGAACGATCCGAAGGCCTTTAATGCTGACATGGAAATGTCCTTCCCTTATCCTGAGGGTCCACAAGCCCAAGAAGCTGAAGTGCTTTTTGCTGAAATGGTGAAGTCTCATCAGGATGATCATCTAGCTCCAACTTCATCAGTTCCTGCAGCTCCCAACCCTTCGATTCCTCCAACTTCAAGTCCAACTGTGGTGGACAATTTTGACTCTGCTCTGTTATGGGAATTTGTGACTGCCCTTACATTGTATACACTTTGTTGCACAGTAATATCCTCCTGTTTCTCAAGAAAATACACTTGTTTGAGGACCTTATATTTTTTGTGGTCCGAAGTGTACAGTTCCTCGGCACTGAGCATGAGAGGAAATGTACTGAACTGGAAACTTAGAGTCCTAAGCAAAGTATTCCTCGGTGCTAAGCCTTAGAGGAAATCTGCTGAATCGGACACTTAGGATCAGAAGCGAAGTATTCTTCGGTGCTGAGCCTTAAAGAAAACGTGTTGAACCGGACACTTAGGGTCCGAAGCGAATTATTCCTCGGCGCTGAGCCTTAGAGGAACTGTAATGTAACGGATTCTGGAGAGCCGAGGCATGTAGTTCCTCGGCGATAAGTTTGAGGGAAATTGTATTGTACCGAACTCTGGAGGTCCGAGGTATCTAATTCCTCGGCAATGAGCCTGAGAGGAACTGTAATGTACCGGACTCTCGAAGTCTGAGGTATGCAGTTCCTCGGCTATGAGCCTGAGAGGAACTGTAATGTACCAGACTCTTGAAGTCTGAGGTATGTAGTTCCTCGGCTATGAGCCTGAGAGGAGCTGTAATGTACCGGACTCTTGAGGTCTGAGATAGTAAGTTCCTCGGCCATAAGCCTGAGAGGAACTGTAAGGTATCGGACTCTTGAGGTCCGAGGTAGTAAGTTCCTCGGCCATGAGCCAGAGAGGAACTGTAAGGTATCGGACTCTTGAGGTCCGAGGTAGTAAGTTCCTCGGCTATGAGCTTGAGAGGAACTGTAATGTACCGGACTCTCGAATGCTGAGGTATGCAGTTCCTCGGCTATGAGCCTGGGAGGAACTGTAATGTACCGGACTCTCGAAGTCTGAGGTATGCAGTTTCTCGGCTATAAGCCTGAGAGGAACTGTAATGTACCCGACTCTTGAAGTCTGAGGTATGTAGTTCCTCGCCTATGAGCCTAAGAGGAACTGTAATGTACCGGACTCTTGAGGTCCGAGGTAGTAAGTTCCTCGGCCATGAGCCTGAGAGGAACTGCAAGGTATCGGACTCTTGAGGTTCGAGGTAGTAAGTTCCTCGGCTATGAGCCTGAGAGGAACTGCAAGGTATCGGACTCTTGAGGTCGGAGGTAGTAAGTTCCTTGGCTATGAGCTTGAGAGGAACTGTAATGTACCAGACTCATGAGGTCCGAGGTAATAAGTTCCTCGGCCATGAGCCTGAAAGGAACTGTAATGTATCGGACTCTTGAGGTCCGAGGTATGTAGTTCCTCAGCGATGAGCCTGAAAGGAATTGTAATGTATCGGACTCTTGAGGTCCGAGGTAGTAAGTTCCTCGGCCATGAGCCTGAGAGGAACTGCAAGGTATCGGACTCTTGAGGTCCAAGGTATATAGTTCCTCAGCAATGAGCCTGAAAGGAATTGTAATGTATCGGACTCTTGAGGTCCGAGGTAGTAAGTTCCTCAGCTATGAGCCTGAGGAACTGTATTTAGGCCAGATAATCTGGGCTTAAAAAAGAGAGAATATGTTTTCTTTTCTTAATATCTCTTAGGGCTGCTTATACTGCCCCCGTTATGGAAGGTATTGCCCCTATGATGGAAAGAAAAATATGTCTCGTTTGATGGCGGTGATGCAGATAATTTTCATATAATTATACGCATCGGCACTCTTTGTGCTTTGGAGGAGTTTACATGAAAATTTAACCTTCGACGTATTTGAGTTCGAGGTGATTTTCATGTAATTTTATTCATCGGCACTGTTTTGTACCTTAGAGAATTTTGTATTTGAGGTAATTTTCATGAAATTTTATTCCTGTTGCAGCTCATTATGCGTTAAAGGAATTTTGAAGTCTTCGGACTCTTGAGGTCCGAAGATGAATTTTGTTCCTCGGTAGCTCGTTGTGCCTTTAGAGGAAATTTGAAGTCCTCGGACTCTTGAGGTCCGAAGATGAATTTTCTTCCTTGGCAGCTCGTTATGCCTTAGAGTTAATTTGAAGTCCTCGGACTCTTGAGGTCCGAAGATGAATATTCTTCCTCGGCAGCTCGTTGTGCCTCAGAGGAATTTTGAAATCTGCGGACTCTTGAGGTCCGAAGATGAATTTTATTCCTTGACAGCTCTGTGTGGCTTAGAGGAAGTTTGAAATATGCGGACTTCTGAGGTCCGAAGATGAATTTTATTCCTTGGCAGCTCTGTGTGCCTTAGAGGAAGTTTGAAATATGCAGACTCGTGATGTCCGAAGATGAATTTTATTCCTCGGCAGCTCTGTGTGCCTTAGAGGAAGTTTGAAATATACAGACTCGTGATGTTCGAAGATGAATTTTATTCCTCGGTAGCTCTGTGTGCCTTAGAGGAACTTTGAAGTCCTCGGACTCTTGAGGTACGAAGATGAATTTTCTTCCTCGGCAGCTCGTTGTGCCTTAGAGGAAATATGCAGACTCGTGATGTCCGAAGATGAATTTTATTCCTCGGCAGCTCTGTGTGCCTTAGAGGAACTTTGAAGTCCTCGGACTCTTGAGGTCCGAAGATAAATTTTCTTCTCGATAGCTCGTTGTGCCTTAGAAGAAATTTTACTTTTTGATACTTTCGAACTCTTGAGGTCCGAGGCTACTTTTTGGTGTTCGGCTTGCCCCCAATTTTTTCCTTTTTCTCTTTTTTTTTTTTTTTTTTTTTTTTTTTTTTTTTTTTTTTTTTTTTTTTTCCAACGTTTTGACGCCACATATAGCATAGCTGCATAGTTGGGCTATTTGCCACTTCACTTGGGGATCAGTCTTTCTTGCCATGCAAATAAACCAAACCCAAATATTATTAATCAATATACGAATAAGGAGCAAATATGAAGTAATTTGTAAACAAAGTTATTAGAAGCATGTAAAATAATTACATGTAGCATATAGCAACTGATTGAAGGAAATAAAGAATTTTAAGAACTTCTTATATATCACAATTGAATTTTTAATAAGATATTCTAATTAGCAGCAAGTATATTGAAATTACTCAATGTATGTAATATTTTAGGACTTCAAGTAATAAACCAAATAGCACAGCTTGTGCATTCAACAATGCCTTTGGCCTCAGATCTTTTATTCAGAAGTTAATGTAGAGGGTCAAACGCTTTTTAGTTGAGTATTGACGAAGTAGTGCATCCCTCTGAAGAGTCTGAACCAATAATATCAGGTGTTATGGTTCTAAGGTTTTGATCAATTATCAACCTTCAGTGAACAACTAATGGATATAATCTAAAAGTCTGATCAAAGTCAATCGTGAGCGGAACAGCTAGTGGATATGACT